AAAAAAAAAAAGAATACAGCTGATGATATTTAAAATTACATTTACATAAGATGAGCAAAAGCATACTTCCTTATAAAAGAAGTCTTGGTATGCCAAAGCCACATGTCTCGGAGAGTGCCACCCATATTAATCAAATAAGCCTCAATTTCAAATCCTCATTGAGATCAAACCTATACAAGTGTTACTGCAAAAATAAATACCCTGATGCAACAGATGACATCAGTTAGAGCTGTGTTTACTTAATTACTACCCTTGACCTTAATAAGAAGCACTGATCAAACTCTTCTTTGTATTCACTCATTCAGGAATCTTTCACATCCGCTACCATTCAGTCCAGTAGACAACTGGGTAATCCTCCCACAGAAGGAATACAAGGATGGAACGATGACAAAACACACATCATTTCTCTACTTTCTGAATGCTTCCTGCCACCCCCACTACCATGACCCAGTTCTACTTTTCATATTTGAGTAGACCAGAGTACACACATTGGTACAGATAAGAGCTCTTGACACATGGTATTCAGGACAGATAAAACCCTCAGGAACAGTAGAGGGAGTAGCAATATCATGAAGGTCAGGGTGGAGGGGTGGAGAACCCATCACAAGGTAGGATATATAGGGTCCCTCCCTTCAGGGGTACAAATAACAAATGTGGGTGAAGGGAGACAACCGACAGTGTAAGATATGAAATAACAATAATAATATATAATTGATCAAGGATTTGGGGGGAGGGGGTAGTTGGAGGAGATAATAGATACATCTCAACAGTACTATCTATGGCAGCTTTGCCTGAAACATTCAAGATGTTTCTTTGTTTCAATTTATACTCCCCTACATACTTTTACAAGGAGCCCTGGTGGTGAAGTGGTTACACACTGGGCTGCTAACCACAGGTTGGCAGTTATAAACCACCAGCTGCTCCATGGGAGAAAGATCGGACTTTCTACTCCAGCAAACAATTACCGTCTCAGAAAACTCAGAGGGACAGTTTTATTCTGTCTGCGTCAACTCAATAGCACTAAGGTTTTTGGTGTATGTACCTTTACAAGGAGCACTGCTGGCATAGTGGGTTGCACATTCAGGCTGCAGGGTCAGCAGTTTGAACCCACCAACCACTCCAACCAAGGCAGTTCTACTCTGTTCTACAGGAATTGGAATCAACTCAATGGCGATGAATTTGAGGTTTGTGTGAGATGAATCTGTAGCATCTCCCTGCAGTAAATAAGTACAGAGAACTAGAGATATTAATCCCCATCTTAGAAAGTGGAATTTGTTCTCTATTCCACTAATTCGGTTAAAATAAATTCCCAGGCTCACCGTTATTAGCAGTCACTAGGGGTTCTGTTTTGGGGTTTTTCTTGTCTTCGTCTTCTTCAGGTTTTTCCGGGCTGGGCTTGGACAGCCGATTCCTTAGAGAAGTCTCTTTACTCATCATTGCGTTATCTGTAAAAAAAGATGTAAAACGTTTGAACTGAAAAAAAGGGAAAACGTGAACTAGGGATCTGGTTATGGCCAATTTCACAGTATCAGCGCATTTAAGGGAGGTGAAGATATATATATTCTCTTTCTTGTTTTACTTGAATGTTAAAACATTTTCGGAAGACAAGATTTTATAACAAATTCAAAGAACAAGTCCCTATAAATAGCTTATTTCTTTTTTTTTTCTTTTTTAACATTTTATTAGGGGCTCATACAACTGTTATCCCAATCCATACACACATCAATTGTGTAAAGCGCATTTGTACATCGTTTCTCAAAACATTTTCTCTCCATTTAAACCTCCGACATTAGGTCCTCATTTTTCCCCTCCCTCCCATAAATAGCTTATTTCAAAGACTCTTATTTTTTTAATTTACAAATAAGCTTTTAGCGTATAATTAACATATACAACTCAACAGTTCATTCACATCAAGAAGAGTTATATAATCATCACCACAATCAGTTTTAGACCATTTTCTTCGGTCTTGTACTTACTGTTATTACTAGCTCCCAATGTCCCACAACCTCCCCTGCCATAACTCCAAGGAACCATTAATCCAGGTACTGTCTCTACAGATTTACCTATCCTGGATTTCATATACACACAAATATTAAAAAAGAAAAGAAACAATAACAAAGTAAAACAGATAAAAACTTCAATCAAAAGGAAACAGAAAATATTAAAAATCAGGGCAAATTTAAAATACATCAAAAGGAAGATCAAATGATAAGGTATTAAATTTTAACCCAACTGCATCTGCAATAATCCACTTTTCAATGCAATCGGCATGATAACAAGGCTATTCACATCCCTGGGACTATGGCTGGTCAGAGGGAAGATGCACCAGAGGCTTAATCCATGTGTATTTCCCCTTCACTTTTAAACACATTAAAATGGGTCAGAAGGGAAATCAAATGATAAGCTAATACATTTTAATCTAACTACATCTGCCATAATCAGCTTTACAGTGTTCCCTATCTGATTAACAGGGCTATTCACATCCCTCAGAGGGGATTCCCTGGGAACGTAGTCCATATGCAGTTCCTGCAAATGGAGTTTGGGCTTCCACGGTCATTCATAGCCTTCTGCAAAATAGGTGCTCACAATTTAAGCTCTGATACCATTCCCTCTTTCAAATGTGGATTTTATCGTTTACAGTCCTTGGATCACACAATGCTTCTGATTCAAAGTAACCCTAAATTTAGGATAGAACTTGTCAGAGAAATTCCAGGCTATAAATCTTGATGGAAGCATACCACCACTTCTTTCTCCCACAGAAGGACTGGTGGGTTCGAACCACCAACCGTTTGATTAGCTGTCAAGTATGTGACTACTACACCACCGCGCCCCTTTTAGATGTACCACATGAGAATAAATAAAATGCCATGAGTTTTCTCTAAATAGTTTAGAGACCATGTGGCATCTGAAGAAGTACAGTCTTTACCATATGACCCCAGTAATCCCTCTACTTAGCATATACCCTGGAAAGAGAGTCATGTCATGAATAACTATATGCACACCATGTTCACAGCAGCAAATTGAAACAACCTAGATCCTATCAGTGGTAAAATGGATATATAACTTTGGTACAAACACATAAGGGAATACTATGTAATGTTAGAGAAAAACGAGTCTTCAAAACTCCTCCTAATATGGATAACCCTGGAGGACACGAGTCAATCACAATGCTAGCACCTATCATTATGAGACCACTAGTGTAAAAAGTCAAGATGGTTACTAGGGGATGAGAGGGAGCGAATGGAAGCCACAAGCTAAAAGGTAGATAATCGTTCACTTGGGTGAAGGGGAAGGCACCAGGTGGTTTGCAAAAGCTGACTAAAGGCAACAGAGGCAAATACTGTTATGTACACAATCATGCAATAGTGGGCATCTGCAAGCAGATGCTTGAATAGGCAGAGGAGGTGTGGGAGGGTGAATGGGAGTGTGCCTATGACTGTATATAGGTTTGACAAAGGATATCTGTTATTTGTATGTCTTTACTGCAAATATATTCATGAATGTGGTTGTGGCTCATAGTAGGGCTGAGTTACGAAAGCTTCTTAGACATAACCAAAGGAAGTGAATCACTGGGCCTAGGGGATCGAGGCCACAGTCTCAAGAATCAGCTGGCATACAATAATTCACAAAGGCAATAATCGGCATCCTACTTTGGTGGGCTGCTACTGGGGTCTTAAAAGCTCATGAGCAGTCCTCTAGGGCACAGCTACTAGTCGCTCCCCTCCAGAGAAAAGATGAGTGATGCCGCCACTCAAGACAGATGAAAACAATGAATCCAAAAGACTGATTGATAACACAAACATCATCAGTCTCCACAACCCTGCAACCAGTGGTGCTTGGCTAACTAATACTAACAACTCTGAAAAGGATCGCATTAGTAAGTCCTGGATAGAAAAATGTGGAACAACACTCAAAATCATGTAAGAAGTTGGTCAGATACATAATGGTGGAACCCCCAAGATAATGCCCCTTAGTCACCTTTCAGGTCTGGTTCTGAACTCACTCTGTGGTAGAATAATCCATCATTCAAGATAAAAAGGGCAGCAGTTACCAAAGAACAAAGTTCAAAGGGAGAGGAAAGAGGGAAAGAGGGAGAGAGGGAAACAGGAGATGAAGAGAGGAAGTGGAATAAGTATGGTACATTGAGGGGGGTTGCAATAGATGAGTTGAAACCAAATGTATATGGATTATTCAATGTAAAATTTTATTATCTGCTCTGTAAACTTTCATCTAATTTATACCAAAAAAGTTTTTTTTTAAATCTTATTTCATACATACAGATATTCAAGAGACCTATTACTTAAAGGAAACTCATAAGGTCACTCACTATAAGTCAGAATTGACTTAACAGCAGTAATGACCTTGGTGACCAAATTCTCAGATCACATACATCATAAGACGGAGACTAAGTCTGACCTGAGCTCCGCCTGCTATGCAGGATAGATTGTTTGCTGACATTACTGTCTGAACAGGAAGTGGTGATGAATTACAGAAATGAATACTCAGTTCGACACAGGAAGATCATCTTGGAGAGCAGATCACAAGGAGGCAAGAGTCATAAACAAGGGGCCACTTAGCTAACGAGGCGAGAAGTAGATTTGTATTTTCTGACTATTCCATCTAAAATACAACCTCTCTCCTTACCAACTCAGAAACTAGTTAGATAAATAAACTACATTAGCTGAGGCAAAGTAAAACATTTTACATGGAATCAAAGTAAATGGTTTCTAAAAGCAACATTAAGTGTGAAGTCACCCTCCCATAGAAGACAGGTCCGGGTGAAAGGTGTTTTCCTCTTCATTTCTTATTGCTTCCAGGTTACTGTTGCTCCCTTCCTATCCTTAAAATCACGAGATAATTGCCCTTGATACCACCATTCCTTGTGGGTTAAGTACAGTTGTTCTGTAGGATGTGTACATCTAGCTGCTCCCTACCACTACTTCTTCTGGCCTTATTTCACTCTGAGGAGCCTTGGTGGTGTAGTGGGTATTAAATAAACTGCCAACCACAAGGTCAACGGCTCAAACCTACCAGCTCTGCTCAGGAGAAAGATGAGGCTGTCCGCTCCGGTAAAGATGTACAGTCTCAGAAACACCAAGGAGAGGTTCTAGCCTGTCCTACGTGTCAGAATAGACTTGGGTCGCATGAATTTGTTTGTTTTACTACAACATTCACGTTTAGAAATCCACTACAACATTCTCGTAGCTTAGCTCCTTAACTTGTCCTAGGTCCAAAATGCTGTTCTTACTAGATCCATCTGTCATGTCTTGCCCTAGAACTTATGGTATCCCACACATTAATTCTACTATGTCCTATGGACTTGCGATGATTCAGAATGGGGGGAATGGACCACTAATCTTCATAGCCATTTTTGCAGTAGATAATATTAATCTGATTTACAGATTATTAAGTAATTTTCCCAGCATCAGGTCACAACTCAAAGGCAGTAAAATGAAGAAAGCAAAGAGATTTCTCTAGAAGAGAATCAGGAGCAAGCAATGCTGGAAATCAAGTTATGAGAACACAAAAGAGTAATCTGTGGTCAATCTTTTTTAAAAAAATGAAAAGAGAAGGGGTACAACATGAGGTATTATCTCAATTTGGGGATATTAAAACTACCATTTACTTAACTACTTGTAAAGTTTCAGGAAGAAAAACAAGGATCTATCTTGGAGTGGGTTGCAAAATGGGATGAGGAAGCAAAAGCAGTGGTCATAAGACGTAAGTCTCTGACTAACTCAGCAGTGGAGGAAACAAGTGTCTACAGGATTGGAATTTACAGCATGAAGGTATTCAGATCAGGGACATTCAGAACGCAAAGAGACATGTTCAAAGTCACACAGCCAGTAAGTGGCAGAAATGTTTTCACCTACAAACTACAGACAGAAAGCTATGTCTAGATAGCCTTTTTAAAGTACAATGACACAATGATTGAACAAGAATTTCTTAAGAATCATCACCAGTGCACTGCAGCTTTGTAACATTGTGTGATAGTATCTAATTTGCCCATGACAGCAAAACATAGGGAACAGCGTGCTGAAAAGAATGATCAACTTTAACCTACCTGCAGTGTTACCATTAATAAAGCTTTCAAAAGAACCTATTGAGTCTCTAAAACGCTTACTGGATTTCTAGTTAAGGAACTGCATTATATCACTCTCAAGTTCAGTGGGGAGAACCGATTGCACGTGGAATTTGCAATGCAGAACACAAAAATTCTACCTCTCTTCAAAAGGAGTCCTGGTGAGCTAGCTCTCAGTGTTGGACTTTTCAAATTAAGATCTAGGTTCAAACTCAAAGGCTGCTCCTCAGGGAGAAAGTTGAGGCTGCTTTTCTTCTATAAAGCCTCATGTAGGTCTGAATTCAAATGACTTCAGGGCAGTGAAGTTTTCTTGGCTTTTTCCCATCAAAGATTTAACCACGGACAACCCTACAACTATTT